CTTGTTTTTACATTCATGCAAAGATGTTGCAAGACCATCGCAACAGAGTGTTTCATGACTTCCGCAATGGTGCATGCAGGAATCTTGTTTGTACTGGTATGTTATCAGTGCTTATTTTTTAAAAATAAGGGATATATCATGATTATCATGATGACATAGTTATCTTCCATCTGTAATTTTTTTTAAAGAGAAAAATATGAGTATCTGTTTAATTTCTTGTTTTTGGAGCTTTTAAGGCTGTGAGAGTTCAGTCATCATCTTGTTATATGTTTTATATAGAAGAAACAGACAAAATATTTATTTGGTTCTGTATCTGAAATACAAGATTTCAGAAACATAAATTTTTTACAAAACTAGTCTTAAGCTCAAAATAAAGTGAAGGTAGTTTTTTTTATATATTATTAAAAAATGAAATTTGATTAGAGTTATTTATGTGCTCCAAATGGTTTAGTTTCTCTGTTGATTAGAGAAATCATTTTTATTTCCTTATTGAAGAAAACCTTGTAATATGGTGTATCACATACTAACGATTCCCAATGCTTGATGCAGACCTGTTTACGAGAGGTATAGACATTCAAGCTGTGAATGTTGTCATTAACTTTGATTTTCCCAAGAACTCTGAGACATATCTGCACAGAGTATGTTGGACACAATTTTAATTTTAATTTTTATTTTTCACAGGAGTTATTTTCCTCATATAATTCTTATGGATGTTTATTTCACTTACAGGTTGGTCGATCAGGAAGGTTTGGACACCTTGGGTTAGCTGTGAATTTGATTACTTATGAGGACCGCTTTAACTTGTATGATTGTTTTTTCCTTAAATTCACTACAATATGTTTTATGAAATATGTTGTGGCTCATATGTGCTTTTTGGTCAAGCAAATCTGTACTTAATATGACTTGTAAGCATTTTCACCTTAACAGGTATAGGATTGAGCAAGAACTCGGTACTGAAATCAAGCAAATTCCTCCACATATTGATCAGGCGATTTACTGCCGGTAACTTGTGGCATGGCATATATCTTGCTACGTAGCCATGGTGGTAACTGTGGTGAGTAATAACTATCTACTATATTTGTAGTGCCTTGTGCCTAAGATGTGTTGTTAAATATTATGTGCTAAATATTATGTCATATATGCATGTTTAAAGTTGATTGGTTTATGACATGCTAGAGTTGCTGAAATGATATTCTGGTGATATCCATCAGGACCAGTTAATATTACGCTTTGTGAGAATCAGAAGTTATTTTCTATGAGCTAGGATCAGCAGCTTCTCTTTTTAACATCAGTTATGCCACAATATTTAGACCTTTGAAATCAAGCACTTAAAGTTTAGGTTACTTTTGGCATGCCATAAATGATGCACATTAGGAATCGTGGTTTCAGGTGCAATCTTTGATCATTCAAAGTGCATTTATAGAATGGGCTATAACTTTTGGCCTTGCATTATTAAACGGGGCTCTTGATCCCAATTCTTTTTTATAGTTATGACAATGGTCTTTTTACTTTTTTTTTTTTAATTTAAAGTGTGAGAAACAGGTTATAATCAGTGTTCCCCAATATATTTTACTTGTTGAAAAGATGATATTGAATTATCCTTTACACAATTTTCATATCCATATTTAACCCCAGGTTGATAAGAGTTCTGCACCATGCTTCTTTTTTTACTGTGAGACTTCTTGTATTGGAAGTTGGAGTGTAGTTTAATGGTTTGATTACGGTATATGTGCTAATCAATGATGCTTGTTATTTGCTTGTTGATTAGGATTCCAGAAGCTGCCCATTTCAAGGCCCTTAGCTCTGCTGTTGAGGAAGCATTTATGGATTTGGTATTGTTGGTTGAAGACTTATGGTTGGTGCTGTATGCGATTAACCCTGGAATATTTTTTCCTGGTTTCTGGATTTTCGTAGTCCTAAATATTTAACAGGATTGTAGGAGAGCTTTAGAATGGTTTATAAATCCCAGATAGAAGCTGGGTTCAGTTCATAGTTGCGTTTGATTCTGTTCGACTGGTTTGGTTCTTGTATGTTGGTATTTTAGTTTTAATACTGCTGAACTTTGGGAGGATGTATTTTGTGCCAAATATTTGCCTTTTCTGTTCTGTTTTTAACTTCTGGGTGCACCAGCTTGATATAATCTTCCCAGGTCAATAATAAAAGATTCAAACATAAAATTTTAGGTAACTATTTTATCCAGGAAGTAGTGCCCTCTCAATGAAATTATTTGCTTGTCCTTTGAAGGCTCAAAGGCTGCAGAATTTCTATAATTACCAAGTTGTATTTTTTATGTTGGGATGGATTTATGTTGGGCTTTGTGTGATTGTGTCTGGACTCTGGACAAAATAAAAGTGTCAAAATTGAGAGTGGGAAGCTCCTGGGCAATCATCAGCCATAGAATATGTTTGGTGTGGCTGAGGCAGAGTCGTATGTTATGTGATAATTATGTCGTAATTAATTGCCATGCAATAGCAATTATTTTTGTGTAAGTGAATTGGTGACTTCTTTCTCTTATTATCAAATGATTTGGGATTGGGGCTTCCTAGGCTTGTACCATGGAAGTCATACAATTATTGTAAATCAATTATTCAGAGATTGCGATTAAAAGAGGCAATTAGTACCTGAGAGAGCATTATCCAATTTTTCCTTATCGTTTTTACGGCAATGTTCCAATGCATCAGTAAATTATGGTTCTTTACTACGTAGGGCCCCGTCTCCTCTCGAGGAGAAAAGTATAAACAGGTCACAACTCAAATCACTCTAGTACTGTATGCCATTATAAGGGATGCATTTATTGCAATTTTAAGGCATTTTTTCCGGCGGCAAAATATATTCATTTCCATGATCAGCTGCTAAAGAGTAAAGAGTTGAAAGTCGGTTTCGAAATTGAAGACATACTCTCTCCTCATTCAATGCCCCACATCTCCATGTTCAAACTTTGCATGCTAGTTTTAGACTGTCTTCTAAATAGGGCACAGTTCTTTGTCTGTGGAAAAAAAGGGTATTCTGTATCATTGAGTAAATACATAGCATTTATCTAAGCCGCTGACAAAACAAAAAAAAAAAAAAAAAAATGAAAGAATTATATAATAGAAGTAAATTAAAGAGTAGACAACTTTTTGGCACCAAAGTAATGGTTTAATCATATTTTTCATCAATATATTTTTAAAATACTATTTTAACATCTAAATTTATATTCAGTTTTCAATTCTGACATCATCGCAATCTCATTCTATCATCATTCTCTTCACTAATCATCACCTATCAAAATCCTTTAAATCTTACTTCCGTCGACTCTGTCAATCACTAGTAATCGAGTAATTAGGGTTTACGTAATTGTCTCTCTCAAGTTAAATTTCGATTAATCTCAATTATCAAAATTTAATCTTCTACTATCAAAAGAGTCATTAGTTTTTCTTCTTCAAAAACTCTAATAATTTGGATGAAATTTACTTTTTATCTTTTATTAGAATATAAATTTAGATAATAAAATAATATTTAAAAAATGTACGAAGCTGAAAGTGTAGGAAAAAGTCGTTAACTCTAAATTGAAGTAAAAGATTTGACCGCGGTGGGGCTTGCTCCTACTGATATTTCAGGCATGGTTCGGGAGGATCACCCACATCTACTTGCATCTGTCAATGGGGTGTGTCATTTTTAAAATTGAATCTATGCAAGCACGTCGGTTGAATACGGGAGTCGCCCAGTTTCTAGTTAAACACCAACACCCATTCTATTATTATATATGCTAATAACCATTCTGCATACTTGTAATCTGCTATATTCATTAAAATCTCTAGCTCCTCATTTTCGTTTGTAAATAGTTTATAGCACTGTCACTATTATCCATGCTTTCTATTCAGGGTTTTATACACCTTCCATAGATGATCATTTTGTTTTCATGTGTAAATTACATTGATACGAGATATAAAGCTCTTTTAAACAGGACATAAATTCTACACTTATCTTCATACCAACAGGTTTAAAAAGGTACCCGACTACTTGGAACTTCCACTCCAACATAACTAAAGAGAGCAACCTACTATGCAATTGCTCATCAACGAAGCTGCCCATCGAAAATTCACATTCAACCCTTTGAAACCACAACAAACAACCATCTCTACTCTTTTGGAGATTTTGACCATATTTATGAGAGTGATTAGACTATCCAATAGTTTTATTTATAATAGAATTTACCCACTTTTTCAGGTTTCTTTGACTCAATTGACATGTATTCACACTGACAAATATTTAATTCAATGGATCCAGGGACAAGAGAAGAACAACAAACTTGACCACGCGTCAACATTAGTTGCTTACCTGTCTATAAACTATTTGCTCAGGCGTCCTCAAAGCTTCCTTCAACTCTCTTCATTAACTTATTATGAAAAACCCTAGTTTATACAGTAATATTATATTTATAAACCCTTTTTATTAATTTTTTCTTACAAAACGTAATATATGGATAATATTAACTTTCTCGTAATTGATATAGGAGCTACCATATCAACATTTACCAGAGAGATTTGTGAAAAGGGTTGAATGAGTCTTATATTTGTTAACCTATCTTTGTTATAGTAAGTAGTAACTGAGCACTCCACGGAGTAGAGTTACAGCGTTCAGTCTTCTATATTTTCTTTTTCTTATTAAAATGAATAAATATTTATGGGTAATGTCATGTCATTGCCATTAATGTTTTTCTTATTTTTCTTTGTTTCTGCTTCATTTTCTCACTAACCAAGCAGAAATAATTGAATAACAGATGGGCAGGTCATTTCATCATGTGTATCCGTACGCTGAAAGTCACTGTCATAGCCATAACTCTCTCTTTCTTCATAAAGTATTTCTCTCCTGTCTTCTCTTTGATTGAATCCACCATTAATGCTTTCACTTTCAACTTCATGGCATTTGCTTTCAATTCTGTCTATTGGCTCTTTCTCTCTCTTGCAGTTTCTGTTCTTCTGGAAAACCTCAAAAAAGAAACCCTATTAACTCTCTTACTGTTTGTACAAGTTTCTTGCCCTCAATGATGATTCAATTTCTCAATGCTTGTTCACAATCACGCAATAAATACATACACTTTATATATACGTATATTTATTGCAAAGCCAGCTTGAAGTTCGCTGAGCGTCCCGGCTTGCACCCACGTTATTAATAACAGCAGCAATAATATTCACTTTTGATTTCCATAGATAATATCAAACTAGCATTTAAAGCTTTCCTCTCTCTGTATGTCTGTCTGTCTCTATCTCTGGTACTTTATAGTTTATAATTTGCTTCACAGTACTTTTTCCCTCTAAAGTGAGTGTGAGCTTTAAGGATTGAAGGGTTTTTCCATTCATTGGTGGTGTAGTATTAAGTTGTTGGTTGTTGAAGCTTTGATATTAAGTAAAGAGATGGGAAGGACACCATGTTGTGATAAGAAGGGTTTGAAGAAAGGGCCATGGACTCCCGAAGAGGATGAGATTCTTATAGAGTACATCAAGAAGAATGGCCATGGAAGCTGGCGTTCTCTTCCTAAGCTCGCAGGTTTCCTCTTTCTTTCTTTCTTTTGTTTATAAAAAAATATTACCCTTGATCCCTTTTGCTTTGTTAGTAACTGTACACAGTGCTATTTGGTTAGTCACTCTCCTGAGCATTTCAGTTTCTTTTCCTTATTTTTTCACTTTTTATAGGAATGTATGCTTGGTTTTCTTCTTTTGTAAGCAAGAAAATTGATTTTAATGTAACCTCGGGCTTTCGAAGTCACCACCGAACCTTCAATTAGTTTAATACTAACTAAAAGACTTAACCAACAGTTTGTCGATCTAGACCTTGTATTACAATGTTCACTATAATTTAGCACGTCTCGTTAGTTATATCTGATTTAAGCTTATCGGGTTGTTGTTTTGCCTAAAACATGCTACTTTTCATGATCAAAATGTGCGTTTTCATTTTGATTTTTATGTTCTTGGTAGTTTTGGTGATCGAACTTTTAAAGTATCAGAATGGCCTTAAATAAATCAACTTTTATCATCGTGGCTTTGGTCATACTTTCCGGTTAAAGGAAAATCTGTCTTATAACATAGGTGTAGTTGATCAACCTTTTGGGATTTTTGGAGAGATACTAGCTTTTGTAAGCGAACCAAACCAGGTTGATTAAGGTTAATGAATTGGAAAATATAGCTGTTGAAGTTTTGTGTTTCACATCTGTTGTGAAAGTAGTATTTCCTGGGAGAGAAAATTAGGTAAAATATTATGACTTTGTATTTTGACAGGTCTTCTTCGATGTGGGAAGAGTTGCCGGCTTAGGTGGACAAATTATCTTAGGCCGGACATAAAGCGTGGTCCCTTTACTGAAGAGGAAGAGAAGCTTGTCATACAGCTTCATGGCATTCTTGGAAATAGGTTTTCTTTTCTACTTCTCCCCCTAATTACTTTTATTTCAATTTACATTAGCCTCAATTAGCTTTTTTTTTTTTTTTTTGTTTATATATTCTTTGTGATCTCAATTGTTTCTTCTCATTACAATATTTTTAGTTTCTTAGATAAAAAACAAAAGTTGGCTATGTAAATTTAACTAGGGACGGAATTATATGACTTAGATAAGAAATTTTGCACCTTTTGCAACTCTTTGATTGATTAAGTTTGGCAGCTAGTTAGAATGTTTAATAATCACCAGTCCACAGCCTTGAACTCGTTTAGTATTAAATAATTACACCGTCAATGGATTTCAGGTGGGCTTCCATTGCCTCTCAGCTACCAGGAAGAACTGACAACGAGATCAAGAACTTATGGAACACTCACCTGAAGAAGCGCATGCTAAGCATGGGGCTTGATCCACAAACTCACGAGCCCTTTACCTCTTCCTGCGGACCAACCATTAAAGCTCCTGCATCTCCAACCACTCGCCACATGGCTCAATGGGAGAATGCTAGGCTTGAAGCTGAAGCTAGGCTTTCCAGGGAGTCGTTACTCTTCAATCCACCGCATTTGGGAAAAACTGATTCTGATTATTTTCTTCGCATCTGGAATTCTGAGGTTGGAGAATCATTTAGGAAATTCAATAAGGCAGACAAACCCGCATGTGAAAGCTCCATTTCCCAGGTTTCTTCGTGTACGAAATGTGGATCAGTTTCAGCTATCACCACGGACATTTGCCACAACTTAGGAGATTCCTCCACTCCGGCAAGTAATCAAAATGAAGATACAGAATGCAAGAGCTCTAAATCATACACTGAGGATGCGTTTGCTGGGTCTGATTCATCAAGTTCTGACATGCAGGATTCATCAGACTCTGCACTGCAACTGCTGTTGGATTTTCCCATCAACAACGATATGAGCTTCTTAGAAGACAACTATGACACATCTTCTGCAATGTTGATGGACAACTCTTTGATCTGTCCCCTCTGAGGCATCATGCGTGTTCTGGAACCTATTTTGCTTGAATTTTGAGGTCGATTTTTGGTCATCATCTAAGTAATGAAGAATGGTGCAAGGTGTTATTGGTATTAGTCCAGTGGGCAGATTTAGAGAGTTAATTAGGTTTTTATTAACTAAAACCCGGTTTATCTAGTATGTATAGAAGATATGTATTACTTGTGGTCTCTTAAAACCTTTTAATTTAGAACTGCAAATACTTTCATTCTATAATATACTTTGATTGTCGTTTTGGTAATATTATGATGCTATCATTCATTCCGTATAATTCTCATTCATGTCTTCTGAATTAATGACTTTATTTGTGGCTTTCAGTATAACTTCTCTGTTATTTTGTTTTTAATAAATCAACTCCTGCTTATTTTTACATGAATCGACCTGAGACCCCTATTTTTTGAGTCTAGGTTTGTTGCTTACAAGAAATTTATTTAGTTTTCAAAGAATTGAAGACAAACATAATTTATACAATAATGCTAGCTTATTTACGAACTTACTAACAGTTTTACTCACTTTGTTAAAATTACATATGGTATTCGTGTTATGTTTTATATTTATAAAGGATAGTAAAATGGTTAGTAAGATCGTGAGCAAACATAACATTATTGTAATTTATAACAACTTTTTCTTTGGGCAACAAAGAAAGAATCAAACTTGTATTGATTTCGTTTGTTTAGTTTTTTAGAATAACATTATATTCTTAATAAGAGCTTTTGAAAATATGATAGGATTCTGATAATGTTTTTGATATATTTTTGGAAAATATTTAGATTATTTTTAATCCTTTAGGTTTGTTAATTTAATTAAACACCCATACAATAAAAATTTATAAATTGACAAAAACACTTCACTCACCCAATTATTGTCGACAGTCGGCCACCATCATCGGACGGTGGTTGAAAGCTACTGGGAGGACGTACGACCGATTGAATATGGCCAGTAATACATCAATCTAGCAAAAAATGATCAGATCTGGCTGTTGACGATGACCAAATCTAGCCAGTCATGCGTTGTTACAATGTCGACGGTCGACAGTGACAATGACGGTGGTTACTAATGGATGATAGTGGCTTGGATAGGTGAAGGTGTTTTTATTAATTTTAAAACTTTTATTGAAAAATATGATTATTAATATTTTGGGTTAATAGAATAAGATTGATTTTGAAAAATATTAAAATGAATGTATTTTTCATTTTTTAGGATATCAAGTAGAATTGGATTGTGTAAAAATACTAAAATAGTGTGCCAAACGCATGGTATAGAATTCTTACATCAATACACGCAATTCTTAGATTTAGTGGAAAGTTTCAAAAAGGTTTACACGCAGCACCACCAGCACACAAGAAAAAGACTTGAGGAAATATACAGATGTAAGGTTTTACGAAAAATGAAAAATATGCATTGAAAATTTTAGTTCAGAAGCAACCAAGGAGCTTCTTTGGAGTGGTGTCAGTTGCACGGTATTTGGCACCCATCTCCTCTGCCTTTAGAAGTTCTTCCCCACGTTTAGCTTCAACCATTGCCCTTTTTTCTTCTGCCTGTTTGTGAATTAAAGCTACATTATTTTTGATTTTTTCAGCATACTCTGCCTTCTTCTTCTCCAATTGTTCCTGCCAATTATTGAAATGCTAAAGTTATGCATTTTTCCTATAATTGCAGTTCATGCCACATGAGGTTAATCATGCTAACAAATAACAAACATGTGCGCCAACCGCTACATGTATCACAAAGTCAAAGATTATTATAATCTAGAAGAAGAGAGACTAAAAACGGAAATTATTGTGATATCTAGATAGATGTATGACAAAGTCAAAGATGATAACAATCTAGAAAAAATGCTACAGGCAAGGTTACCTCAATTCTTTTCAGTTTAGCTTCCAAAGATGCTTTCTTGCTATTTTCCCACGCAGTAACATCAGAGAGCTTCTTCTGGGCCCTGTTCAAAATTTAAATTCATAGACACCATTAAGAAAGGGAAAAAAAAAAAAAAAACACAGATGTCAATGGCTAGAGAATATGGAGGTGACTTGTTTTCAACGTGCAAATTGGCTGTATATCAAACTTAACATATGTAAAAAATTAGATAAAGCCTTACTTGTTCTCTGCTTTTGATTTTTCACTCTCCTCCCAGGCTTTTATGAAGGACAATCTTTTTCCCTTCTCAAGATCAGCTAGAGCTACATCTGAAATAATAATAATAATAATAATAACAAGAAGAAGAAAACTCAAGTTAATCACTTGCGAACTCTTAAGTACTCCTGACATCGAAGAAAATCTTACTACTTACCTCTATCCTGCGATCCTCCAGAAATTTTCTTCTTCTCAGAATCAGGAGCCTCTGTCAAAGACAAGATATATATAAATAACAAAACTAGCTTGATGGCAAAAGTTAAGAAAATTTATATTACACACTTGCCTTATTGTTTAAAATAGATTTGTATGATTTTTCAGTCTACAGAAGGAAAAAAAAAACTAGTAAGTTTATTTCCCATTGTTAGATTCAAAATGGAATTCTTTTTCCAATAAACAATTCATCTCATGATATAATTGCTAGGCTTGATTTCTTGCTATTATAAAGTCACATATCTGGTATAGTTGGTACCTAATACCTCACTTGATTTTGAATCAAATTCCACTGTTTAGAAGAAGTAAATACAAGTGGTTTCAACCTCAAGGGGTTGGTTTGGTGATGAAGAAGGTTTATGAACCATATATGAAAGATTCATTAAGACAAATGCAGAAATCATATTTCTTGTTATAGTTAATACGCATATAAGAGATTAGAAGAAGAAGGATATGACTGGCCCTTATTCCTTAAAGCAAGGGAAACCATTACATGATTTATTAGGATATTCACAACATATAATAATTTCTTAAATAAAGGGCTAGCCAAGTCAAAGCCTGCTAAGTTCAGGAGAGGGGAATTTTTCGCTATGAATTGTAAGCATCTTGTCCGATAAAAAAGGTTCTACTCTGATCAGCAATTTGTATGTGAGCTTCATATACATTAATTTTCAATCTAAAACTGTGAAAAACTATACAAGGAAAGTGGATGTCACATTTTCAATATTATATATTCTACATTATAAACCATCATTGCCATTGTCTTGTCTTAGACAATATTTTTCATTATATAATTGTGTAGGGTAGTTTTCTTCCATGAAATATTTAAAATGCAAAATTGACCTAATTCAAACGAGTGTATAAGAAACTTCTCTTAAGTATCATCAAATTCAATCATGAAACCAAAGTGGACCAATATCTTTAATTTACAGCTAATCCAACTAATCAACCATAGATAATATTATAAAAGAAAGTCAATATCATCAAGCATACTAAGTAGAACAGTAATGCAATAATAATAATAATAAATATCAAAAGAAATAGAGTAGAGGAACAGAAACGATAATGCGAAAAGCACCCCAAAGAAAAGCTGTCTTGCCAAAAGGAGATTCCCCTTAGACCTTAAAATCTGATTAAAAAGGATATGGCAATTTGTAATTCTTTTGAAAATTTTACTTCCTATAAAAACTTTTAACCTTATTCTTTTTACTATTTGATAAAGCAATGTGCTTTGAGAGTTAAGGCAACTTTTAACCGGATTTCTGCGAGGAAAGAACAGTGTCGTTGAAAATCTGTTAAAACAAATCAAAAGAAAAGCATAATCTCATATTATAAAATTTCTTGAAAATATTATGTTCTCAGAACTTATAATAATTGAAAGAGCCAAAAAGGGAAATCAATTAATCCAGCCAGATGACAGAAACAGAGAAGTGAGCACATAATTTACTAGTTGATAAGAAACCACTCTTAAGCTTTTAATCTTAGACAGAACATAAATGAAACAAAAATATAGAAACAAAATCCAGAAGTGAATACTGAATCTTGATCCTATACTTAGATGCTGAGAAAACAGAGAAAAAGCCCATAAAAACACAATCAACTGTGCCTAATGATCGATATTGTTCCTTGAAAAACACACACACACACACATATCATTCGATAAAAGATCTCTGTTTTTCAGGGACCTGTAAATAATTCATTCAACTTTTAGAACTCAGGAAATCAAAGCTTATAACTCAGGAACTCAGAAAGCATTAACAGACATTCAACATAAAAAAGAAATGCCTAAGCAGCTAAGCTTATGAATATTCACAGAGACTTTGAAAGAGAGCTTACTATCAACTACAGCAAGAGCTTTGGATTCATCAGGCTTCTTTTCAGGCGCTTGACTAACAGTTTTCTCCTCCGTAACAGCCGGAACCGGAGCCCTCGGCGACTCAGCTTCAGTCTTCTTTAGGTGTTCCTGTGCCATAATTTTAACGTAGAGCACGAAATAATTAAAACGACACTACAAACAGAATCCAATTATGGAAATCCTCGCTCTTATCTTTTAGTGTGAGACTGTCTCCATATATATGGCTTTGGAGCAGGAGAAGAGTGTAGTAAGAGTATCAGATATTTTTGAGGAAAATCAAGTTGCATACACACGCGGTCTAATCACCGTTGATCTTGCATTGTCATGGTGATTAACATGATGATAGTTTAATCAAACGGTGGATTCGTTTCTTCATGACCGTGGCAGAAATTGCGTAGTTGAAGCGCGTAATTGCTTTATGCCGACAGGTAAAGTAGGTGATTAAATAACGTACTGCCACGTAATCACCAATTAAGAAACGGCGGTGTCGGCATGCGTAATACGACGACGTTGTAGGGCAAGGCGAAAGAAACAGGTGGACAGCTACTCATGGACATATTGAGATCTGATTGGATTGAGACACTGAGTTGGACTTTGGGAAAAAAACAGTTTGAAATAGCAATAAGATTTTCCACGCTCTCATGTCTCGTGTTTGTCACTTACGTTCATAGTAAGGCACAGGAGTTTATTCTAATGAAGTAGAACAACATCAAAGCTTGTTGGACACGCGCTGTGAGGTGCGTTTAACCGTGAGGAATAGTTTCTCTGTATCAATCCTCGTCATCTATGTGCTGGTTAACAACTCAGGTGAATCGTCTTTATGAAGAGTGTGTGTTGGGTAAAGAAAATAAAAATATGTATTAATTTCATCAATTTCGCTTTCATTTAATCTATTATTACTTTTTTCTTTCTTTAAATTTAAGAGAAAAAAGGAACCGAGAAAGCGAATCTTGCGTGCTTTACTGGATTTATTTATTAAAAATCATGTACAATCACAATTCAACACCCTTCAATATAAAAATTAGGGTTTTGAAAGTATGTGGAAATGACGATGACGGGGTTCTTGAAGTAAGTGGGACCCAAAATCTTGATGACCTGTAAAGATTATGAATAGAACAATCGTGTAGAGTGAGTCGAGTTGAGTTGAGTTGAGTTGAGTGGATGGAGAGTGAGTCAGAGAGTGCGACAGGGAAAGAATGGGGAGAGAAAGTATCAGAGAAGGTAATATCTGCATACAAGTGTCTTCCAAAGAAAGGAAAGCCACAGGGACGCGAAGTCACTGTATTGGCCGCCTTTCTCCTCTCTTCTCCTTCTCAAGGTCTCTCTCTTCTCTTTTCTTTTCATGCTATGTTATTGATTGATGGAAGTATAATTAATCGTTTTTGGGTTCAGATTTGGAAGTTGTGGCTCTCGGAACGGGAACAAAATGTATTGGTGGTTCGCTATTGAGCCCGCGTGGTGACATTGTTAATGATTCCCATGCTGAAATTATTGCCCGAAGAGCTTTATTGAGGTTTATTTGTCTTACTTCTTTAAGTCTTCTTCCCTTTGTTAGGATTTCCGCCTATACTGATTTTAATCATTTATTTTTCAATGGCATAATGACATATAACATGTTCCGGGATACAACCCTCTTGTTCATTTTTCCTATCTAAGAGGTTTATATTACCATGTCATACAGGTTCTTCTATACAGAGATTCAATGCCTTTCAAATGCTTTGAATAGAAATGAAACCCAAGAGTTGCAAGATGAAGATGTTGTTAAAAACTCAGTTTTCCAATTGGACTCCACAGGTCCTGGCCAAGGGAAATATAAATTAAGAGAGGGCTGGCAATTACATCTTTACATATCACAATTGCCATGTAATTTTTGTTGATTCTCTCTCTCTCTCTCTCTCTCTCTCTCTCTCTTTCTCTCTCTGGTTTGAATACTTTTGGAGAAGTTTATTTTATGACAGTAGAAACTTTTTTATTGTTTTTTATAGGTGGGGATGCTTCACTCAGCTCATCTTTGTCTCCTTTGAGAACTATCTACTTCAGAGAAAGTAACTCATCAGCAGCTCTGGATGAGCTTAACGTTTCCATGGAAAGGATTCACGAGGCTGCAAGAACAAATTATGGTAATGGTGAAACCCTGTCTTACTGCTTATTGTTAATTTTTATGGTCAATTGTGTTCTACTTTTTATGGAGCTTTATTATATTTGTGACGGAACCCTGTCTTATTGCTTATTGTTAGTAGTTGCATATTATTATTTTTCAAGTTTCATTGTAATGAGACTTTTTTTGGTCAGGACATGAGAACTGATTTACTTACCTGGAGAATTTATAAGGTGTTACACTTGCAGATGATACCTTGCAACACATTGGAAAGGTTCAAAGAAAGCCTGGTCGTGGTGATACAACATTTTCGGTTAGCTGTTCTGACAAGATAACTCGTTGGAATGTTGTTGGAGTTCAAGGTTTGTTTAATTCTAAACATTAATGATTGTGCAATAAGCATAAATATTTCCTTATTGCACAAGCAATAAGGCAATATTAATGCTTGAGTTGAGTTAAATGATAAGGTCTTTCTTATTTCAGGAGCTTTGCTTTCCTACTTTGTTCAACCTGTTTACCTTTCTTCCATTACTGTTGGACAGTCCCCTAACAGTTTTAAAGATTTTCCCTTGGAAGATCTCTTGAAAAGATCTTTATATGATCGGATTTTGCCAATATCAAATGAGCTTATGAGTCCCTTTCAAGTGAATAAGGTTTGTGAAGTATCTGGTGTTTCACTATTATGGGAAGTGAACAGGGTAATGACAAAATTCATCGCAATGCCTTTGGCAGCCACTATTTTGGGCAGCACCAATACCACCAAGGGAGTTTCAGCATTCTGAGACTGCTTCAACCACATTGACATGCGGGTAATTTCATTGGATTTGATCGGTTCAAGAAATTAACTTATTGTTTGTTTCTTTATTGTTGAATGTTTTGTGCTTTTGTTGACAGATATTCCATATGTTGGAATAAGTCAGGACTGCAAGAAGTTATTCTTGGAACCACTGGAAGAAAACAAGGAACCTCTGCTAAAGGGGCACTTTCTCCATCTACTGAGTCATCTTTATGCAAGTAAGCTAAAAAAGATGCTCCAAGAAATAATGTCCAAATAAGGCATAATTCGTTACTATTATCATCATAATGATTATCAACTTTTTCTACCTTAGAAAGCGATTTTTGGAGATTTTCCTGTTGCTAGGGCATGAATGCAAAATCAAATGTCCAACCAGTGGCATTTCATATCGAGAACTCAAGGTGATTTTTATTTTCTGGGTTTAATATGCATACTTTTTTTCCCCTTGAAATTATTGTACTTGAATGGTAGATAGTAGTTATTTTACGAGTTTAATGGGGTTATGTTCAGTTTTCCATAATGTTAAAAATTTTCAATTCGGTGATAGTCTCCAGTTTGAGTCAATTTTGTGCATTCAAATGTTAGATGCTGAATTGAAGCATTCCATAGGGGCAAAAAAATGTCAATTTGTTAAACTATTTGGAACTATGCTAATTTTTATAATAAATTCAATGTTGAGAATGTAATTGATACAACCCTTATGAATCAGTTGCTTTACTACTTCCATATGTTTGTTTTGTAGAGAAGAAACTGTTCATAATAAAGAATCAAATTACAGATTTTAAAGTTGGGGAGTTTGAAACAAATATGTACACACGGGATTGGTTATTGTGATTTCATAATGAGTTTGGTTACTGGATTTAAACTGTTATTCCGTCTATACAGTTGGGATTGTAACTGTAAAATCCAATTTCTTACCAACTTCCATCAATAGCTTAGCTGGGTGTGAAAGGAGTGAGGTTCTGATCCATGAATATATAGCATGCAATATCTCCAATGATTTGGCCGAGTTATGTTATTGTACTGGGCGATTTAGTAATCGCTTTGATACGATTTGTTCTGAATTTGGAAAAACGTTTCACAATTAACTATTAGCAATAACACACATAACCATTTTCATTTCAATATTTTGATCTGGTAATTGTGTTGCAGGATGGGGCTCAAGAATACAATTTAACTTCAAAAACTTTTAAAGGGACAGCACCGTTTAGAAATTGGTTATTGAAACCATTAGATTATGAGGCTTTCTCCAAAGCAGTGAGGTGTATGTGCAATTTTTTTTTTAATTCAATTGCTGCTTTATTACTTTTTCATTCTGTGCTTTGCTTTTGGGTAAACCTAGTACTAGTAATTTTTTTTTTTCTTTTTTAATAATTAGCTCTTCATTATAAACTACAACTTGCTTTATGAAAAAAATTGTCAATTATCCAAGAATCAATTTATAGATACCAATGGCACGCCTTGTGTGCAACTGGTTCATTTTTTTCTTTTCTCGGTGCAGCTGCTTGACTAGGAAGCATATTCTTGAGCACCAGTGAGCTTTTCTGTGCGCCATAAAAGCTGTTAAAGAGCCCCTCCGGCAAAACCTCAATTTGGTTGTGACCTATCAAGGATGGACCATCTCTTGATTTGTCATTACTGATTTTATTCCTATCTAATGCATCTATACTAAGAAGTCGCAATCTAATGACACCGTGCTAGCAACCACTATTGTTCATGTATATTACTTTTTTTCCAGGTATTGATGGAAACATTAATTTTGCCTGGTGACATAGTTTTTGGCTCATGTTAAGAGCTTTTAAATAGAAACACTTTATGGGATGCATCTGTTGTAGGAAACCGGCCCATTTAAATAAATGGTTTAGATGGTTTAATTGTGTTCAAAATAGGGACTGTAACTAAGACTTAATCAATGTCCTGAATGACATCAAGCATTCTCTATAGGTTTTGTTTTGCTTGGTTTGTGTGTGTGTTGTGACAGCTGAGTGCGGAGAGTCCAATGCAGATTGCAGATACGTAGTATATAAGGATTAATGGCATGTGGTCAAGAGGAATAGATGAAGCAATTTCCTGAGCAAACTGCAATTGTCATTGCGTAATATTTGTGGCAAGCCAGAAGGTGACTTGTCCCGTGGGTTAAGCTCTTGGCATTGTCGAATTACAAGTCAAAGCTTCTTCTTGTTTCATATGCATTGACTTTTGAATTCTCGTCGTTGGCACGTGGCAAATCCCAAATCCTATGGAGATAATGTGCCTCAGTTTCAGTATAAAGCTTGAAAACAGAACATAAAGATGCATATTTTTTAGAAATCGACGCTCTTGTTCTTCTATAGAAGTACCGTCTTCCGGATAAAAGAATTAAACTCGGTTAACTTTTTGTTTTTCTCTGAACCATATCAAACGCCGGTAAGGGCTAATTTACGATATTAACGTTGATTCTTTTTTACTGTCTTGAATGACTTTTGCACACACAGATTCTTTGTTGCACATGGACTTAATGCTCAGCAGCGCACACAGCGCCGCCCGTAACTGTAGTCCAAGCTGCCAAAGTTGAGTGGAATTTAACCTAATCAATCAGAAAATAAAATCTGGTAATTGGAATTAAACCGAAGTTATCCATTTTCGATGGGTCTTCATTTTTGTAAAAAACTATTATATTAAATTTCAAGTTCTATTCTACCAATTCAGTGTTTTTTTAAGACAGAAAGAATGATAAGAAGATAAATTTATATAATGAGTGCCACGGAAAAAAGAAACAGAGGCTCTTAATTTCAGTTTTTGAGCTCCAACGAGAAGATCGAGACAATGAATCATGGGCTTAAAACGTGAATCAACCTTTAGAAAGAAGCAAACAAAGCATGTTTTCCTCCCGTTAGTCTTCTTCTCCTTGCTTATATCTTTTCACTTACATAACTGTAAACTTATTTTTTATATATATACCTTTAGGATTACAGGTTTTCAGTAAAACTTTCTCTGTATCTTTTTGTACCTGCACTTGAACTTCATAATGTTAATTGCTTCCTCATCCCCTTCTTTTAATTTCTTATTGATCTAAACAGAAACTTGGGAATTTTATTTTGAAGAAAACCTACAGTTGAGGTACTTGTTAAGATTTGAGGAGCAGCATGAAAGAGAACGAAAGATATGAAAATACTCTGCGGCTTTGGTCAGGCCTCTATCGACATTTCACAGGAAAGCCTTTGTACCCAACAAAGAAGAAGACTACAACAACCACTGCTGCTATCTTCTTCTCTCTCTTTGCTTGTGCCTTTGTTTCCCTGGGTTGGTTTCATTCAGTAAGTCCTGCATCACCTGTTTCCATTGTAATATTTTCAGGTCCAATGATTCCCTATCTCGAACTCTCACTTCCACATTTCCCCTTACTTTATGCATGAATATCATCTATCATTTGCAGGTTCTCTGGTTTTCCTAAACGCACACTTTGCTGAAAACTGTCGTATATTAATATATTTACAATTGTCATGCATAGCTTGAATTAATTTACCATTTATTTATGCCAATCCTAATATAAAGTAAATAGTGATTGATTACTAATTCAATGTTTCGCAGTCTATATTTTCAGATATTTCCCTTGAAAAAGCCGTTACTTGGATAAATCTCCCAAACAAACAAGAATTCCCTCTCCAGTGCACCTCTGGAAACGTAACACAAACTTGTCCAAAAAACTATCCGACCTCACACAACCCCACCAATCCTGACCCTTCATCAAATTTAACATGTCCATCATACTTCCGGTGGATCCATGAAGATCTGCGGCCGTGGAAAGAGACGGGAATCACCAGGGACATGATCGAAAAGGCACGTACGACTGCACATTTCAGGCTGGTGATCATAAATGGGAAGGCTTATGTAGAAAAGTACAAGCAGTCTATACAGACGAGAGATATGTTCAGTTTATGGGGAATATTGCAGCTGCTAAGGTTGTACCCCGGGAGATTGCCCGACTTGGAGATAATGTTTGACTGTAATGATCGGCCCGTTGTCCGAGCTAGAGACTTTCAAGGCCCAAATTCAGGCCCACCACCTTTGTTTAAATATTGTTCGGACGGGCCCAGTTTGGATATCGTGTTCCCGGATTGGTCTTTTTGGGGCTGGTAATCATATCTATTCTATCAACCTTGAATTATTTTAGGCAATATAACCTTCTGAATACCCCTCCTATAGGAAATTAGCCATGATTCGATTATGATATTTTTGTGATATTTCTGCAATATTGAATTAGAATTTTAAACAATTTAAAACCAGAGAATGTTGTAAAAGATAACGATGTTAAATTAATGAATATAAATGGCAGGGCGGAGACGAATATAAGTCCATGGAATCATGTGTTGAAGGAGATAGAAGAAGGCAACAATAAAAGCAAATGGAAGGACAGGGAACCCTATGCTTACTGGAGAGGAAATCCAAACGTCTCCCGAATCAGGAAAGACCTTATGACCTGCAATGTCTCGGAAAAATATGACTGGAACGCTCGTCTATATGTTCAGGTAAATCAACAAATTTTAGTTTCTTCGTAATTCCCCAGAGAAAAACCATATATAATCGTTCTGTGTTTTCTTTTTTGTTTAGGATTGGATCAAAGAATCTAAAGAACTGTACAAGGAATCAAGTCTAAAAAATCAATGCACCCACAGGTATTAATTAATAGACTAAATTCATCACTCTTGATAATGAAAATATTGTTAATTACATAATTGATTGTGGTGGCAGATACAAGATATACGTGGAAGGATGGGCATGGTCTGTAAGCGAGAAATACATTCTAGCTTGTGATGCAATGACCTTGATAGTAAGACCTCTTTATTATGATTTCTTCTCCAGAGCTATGGTGCCACAGCAACATTACTGGCCCATTAGGGACAACAGCAAGTGCACATCTCTTAAATTCGCAGTGGAATGGGGCAACAACCACATGGAAAAGGCACAAGCCATTGGAGAAGCAGGAAGCCAGTTCACACAAGATGAACTGAAGATGGATTATGTGTATGATTACATGTTTCATCTGTTAAACGAGTATGCGAAACTCTTGAAATTCAAACCTGAAATACCTGATGGAGCAGTTGAGCAATGTTCAGAGTCAGTAGCATGCCCAACAACTGGTAATTGGAGGAAGTTTATGGCGGAGTCGATGGTGAATTCTCCAAGTGATACACTTCCATGTACAATGCCTGAGCCTTATGATCCTCCAGCTCTACGAGATTTTGTTAACACAAAAGTCAAATTAACAAAGCAAGTGGAAGCCTGGGAGAATGAGTATTGGCAGAAGCAGAATCTCGACAAGAAGCCATGAAAGAAAATTACTTTTTACATCTTGTAGTAATAATTAACTGGCTTGATACATGCTTCATATTTTTGTAATCCTTTTACAATTTGGATTTTCAATTGATTGATCCCTTAATATTTTTAGGGCAAGAAGATTATATCCGTTGAAATACGCATAAGTGAGAGAGATAGTTTAGATCATTTAAAAAAGAATATATTATGATTTTAATTACAAAATAAATTATTAATTAAAAAGGAAAATACGTTATGATTCTGCATGCCATTTAAATAATAAGTTTCCAACTGTAAATTGGTGCAATTAATTTGCGGTGGAATGGTGTAGATTTAGACAACAAGAAAAAGAGAGAGAGCTACGGAACTGCAGTTACTTGCAAAGAGGGAGGTATATGGGAGAACTAAGGGGAGAGAGTAGACCAAATCTTTCCGATGTTTCAGCTCTCTTTTTTTCTTTTTTTCTTTTTTTTGTTCAGATTATCAAATTATTTCTGAAAATTGATTTCAATCAATTGCTAATGATGATCTCAGTATCAGTATCGGGGTGTTTATCCTGATACTGTAAAATGACACATACTATTTTATGAATTAAAATTCGCGGTTTGACTAATCCTCATTAATTTCTCTTTTCTCTACCTTCTTGCTCTTCATAACAATTTATTTCCATTAAGACAATATTCTGAAAGTCTGAAGATCTCTTGTAATTCCCTCGTTTCTGTTCTTCGTTGTTGTTGATAAATTCAACATAAAAAATAATTCGGACCAGATAGCTAGCTAGCAGAAAATCAGGAAATCAGAAGACTAATAGCGGCTAGCAAACTGGGAGTTAATAAAAGATGGAAAATATTGGTGCAGTTCTTGGTTTCTGTGTACGTGGGACTCACAAATGTAGTCATTTTGTGGAGACAACTTGTAGATCTGCTAAGAGATGGACATCAGCAACTATTTCTCTATCCTTCTTTACCATCCTTTTTATTGGTTCCTTCATTTATTGGCTGCATGTTGTAAGTCTCTACCAGGCATGTTCCACAGTTTATATAGTAATAAGATTTTGATTAACACCAATTAAATTCTTAGTGCTTATGGTTTATTCAGTCTGTTATTCCAGGTTCTCTTCTACACCAGGCACTATTTAGCTCCAAAACTTCCCATAAATCTCTTCACAATCGGGCCGTTCAAATCAACTGCTCAGCCTCTGATTTGTCAGTATGCCCAGCCGACTATATGTTACCACCCGAAACTAGAGGATTACCGGGTGGTGAATGTCCTGATTACTTTCGGTGGATCCACAAAGACTTACAGCCATGGAAGAAAAGCGGAATAACCAGGGAAATGGTTGAAAGTGGAAAAGATCATGCGCATTTTAGACTGGTAATTGTTGAAGGCAAGGCTTATGTGGAGAAGTATAAAAAGCCATATCAAACAAGGGATCTCTTCACTATGTGGGGCATTTTGCAGCTGCTGAGGTTTTACCCTGGAAAGGTACCAGACTTGGAGCTGATGTTTTGGTGTGAAGACAGGCCAGTGATCCACAAAAATGACTACCAAGGACCAAATGCAACGTTTCCACCTCCTGTGTTTCACTACTGTGGACACCAGGAATCTTTGGACATCGTCTTCCCAGATTGGACCTTCTGGGGTTGGTAAAGCCTTACATATTTGTTTATTAATTGCAGAATGAAACGCCTAAATAAACATATAACAAGATTATATTCATATGCATTTGATTTTGCTTTAATTTTGTGCTAGCATCAAGTAGTCACGGGCCTTGATTTTTGTTATGTTGATATATTATGTTAGGGCTGAGACCAATATAAAGCCATGGGGCAGTATAATGGAAGACCTTAAAGAAGGAAACAAGAGGATTCAATGGCAAGATAGAGTACCCTATGCATATTGGAAGGGAAACCCGCATGTGTCTGACACTAGAGGGGACCTGATGAAGTGTAATGTTTCAGAAAGACGTGACTGGAATGCTCGCCTCCATATCCAGGACTGGAATAAAGAAATGGAAGAGGGGTTTAAGAATTCCAAATTAGAAGATCAATGCACCCACAGGTATGTATCTATATATTAATTATTGAACTTAATTTGTATTTAATTTGCAAATGGTTATGATTAATTACTAATTAGATTTTGAAATTTGGTTGTGGAGATATAAAATTTTCGTAGAAGGAGCAGCATGGTCAGTGAGTGACAAATACATATTGGCATGCGATTCTATGACTTTGGTGTTAGAGCCTGAATACTATGATTTCTTTATAAGAAGCATTATGCCCATGAAGCATTACTGGCCCATTAGAACCACCAGGAAGTGTAGGGATATTAAATTTGCTGTCGACTGGGGCAATAAGCATAGTCACCAGGTACTTTATATGCTTCATATCAAAGCTTTACATTTGATATAATTATCTTATATATAAATATTAAACTTTGGACTTCATAAATTGACAGGCTAAAGCCATAGGGAAAGAAGGAAGCAAATACATTCAAGAGCAGCTCAAAATGAAGTACGTTTACGATTATATGCTTCATTTGTTAATCGAATACGCAAAGCTTTTGAAATTTAAACCACGGATAACTGAAGGAGCGAAACAGATCTGTTCACAAACAATGGCTTGCTCACAGGATGGTTTATGGAAACAATTCATGGTGGAGTCAATGGTGAATTCTTCTAGTGAGACAGTTCCGTGCAGTTTGCCTTCTCCTTTTGAACCCCTTGCACTTCAAGCTTTCATAGAGAATAAAGAGATGGTAAAGAAACAAGTAGAGATGTGGGAGAGGGTGAATACTGGGAAAATCTAAAGAAACAGCAGTAGTGGCTTGTGTTATACGTTGATTTAATTGCTTTTTCAACCCTATTATTTGCTTTTCTACTGATTGATTAATCCGTAATGTCATTATTTGAAATTATGGTTTAATTATATATATTTTAGAGTCTCTAGTCCTATATAAATCAGTTAAATAAATAGCAGAATCTGATAAATATATCAATTAATAATTCTCCGGAAAACAAACCAAAACTTGATGGCTTTGATTCCAATCGGGAAACAAAACTTTTGACGAAAGAAGTGAAAACAAATGTAGAAGGAAACAATGAAAAATTGACCAAAAATGGTTCAATATTAACAGTTTAGACAAGTTTCCAGAGCAATCCCACAACAAAGTGAAACAATTAGCGGGAAGAGAGACGGTGACTTCTGGGACTTAGATGGCTCGGCCACTGATAATATCCAAACTCATCTCACTAGGATCTGTTGCTTGCAACTCCACCTGAATTCCATCCAATTCTCTTTTAAATCTGTCCTTGGAGCTTGAATAAACCATCTTACTCCTCACCCTTGATGAGTCAGGTGCCCTACAATATGATTATGATTACTATCATATATTAATATGATGATGAAACCCCGTATCTGCATAGAGCTTAATTAATTAATTACCACGCAATAAAGAAAATCTTGCTCTTTTGGACATTCTCTTCAGTTGTGAAATCAAAATCAAAAACAGCATAACGGCATTCATTTGCAGGCAATGAATTAGTGAAATCATCATAGGTTTCTTCTGGACTCCCAACCTTTTCAACCGTCACCTGTTGAATCTGTTCGTCGATCTTGAACACAATGAACCGATGGTTCCTCTTTGCTTTAAGCTCAAAGAACTTCAGCTTGCACTCATCATTCACAGCCATCCCAGACGACGAATTCGCCTATGTATTGCACGAAAATCATATTTGACATCAAAATTAAACGACAATATTACACAACATGTGAATAGATGAAAGAGCAGGTACCATATCCATAATTCCATGTGATGATACAATATGCTGAAACCTTGCTTTATTAATTTAGACAACAAGAAATAGATGATTTAAAGAAATCTTATAAATGAGAGATTTAAGAGAGATTACCATTTTAATTACTCTCCAACTAGAGAAAATCCTTGCTACGAATAAATTAGGAGATCAATAAAAGGAAGTACGGGTAATGAAACAATGATAAATGAGAGTAATATCTGACTATGATTGTGCATAAAGGAATTTTTTCTTTTCTTATTTTTTTGTATTTTGTTTTGCAATCAAAGAAAAGAATGGAAGAGGATGGAGGAGAGATTTTCGTGGGGGGAAATAAGAGTTAGTTTTTTATTTTGCTCGTTTTGGCTAATCACGTCCACGATAAACTTTCATATTGCCACGTTGTTGCTCCATGCATATTTCATTAATTAATTAATTTTTCTTGTTTTCTCCAATTTTGGTAAGCTACAAATGCATGTGATTAGTTTATTGAAAATTAAGGCTTCGTATATTTACATTCATTTGGATTATTATTATTATTTTTTTCTTTTATACCCCTTATAGGATTTAAGTCCGTTTATTTCATTATTCTATATCATATTTCCAATCATATCGTCAAAATAGATATTTGTTTCATTATCCTCAAAATACTTTATATTTTCTTCAACTATATTTTAAATCCCTTAAGTTTATTAATTTAACTAAATACCCTCAGAAAAAAAGTTTAAAAATTAACCAAAAAAACCCTCCACCTACCCGCATTTGTTAGATTCCGGCCACCACTGTGATAAGGTGGTTGGAATCTAGTATAATGGCACACTACCGGCTAGATCTGACTGGTAGTGTGCCAACCTATCATTTTCCAGCCAAATCCACCGTGAATCTGGCCGGAAAAGGCCAGATCTTTGGCCATAGCTGATCGTCAATGGCTAGAAAAGACTATATCGGCACACAAATGGCCAGATCAGGTCGATTGTATGCTGTAACGCTAGATTCCGGTGGTGGTGGTCGGAATCTAGCAACTGTGGGTGGGGGTGTTTTTGTCATGTTACAAATTTTTTATATATTGGGCTGTTTCATAAATTAGCAAACCTAAAGGGGTGTTTTTGTTCATTTTCAAATCCTACCTCGTTATTCCCACCCAACTCTAAAAATATAAAAAATTCTATCCAAAATATTAAAACAAACGGACTCCAATATAATGAACTTGAGTAGAACTTACTTCAAAAGCTAGTTATTATTTTTTTAAAAATATTGAAAACAATCACATATCCAACGGACTTAGAGATGGGCATTTTCCCTGCCCCAAACAGGTTGGGGAA